GTTAATGTAGTACAACGGGCTCGTGAATCAGGTGACTTAAGACCTCACAGGGGACCTCACGATCAAATACAGGTCCGCACTGAAATACTTGTCGGGAGGATACTTTATAAAACAAGGTAAATTTTTTTTTTCTGCTCTGCTCTGCTCTCTAAATTATAGATTTTGTGTCTCGCCATCAACTCACTATGAGGAAAGCCAATAGCGGGATATATCCCGTCAGCTTTGTATGAGAGGTATTTTAAAAACTTTCTTTGAACGGACTCTAAGCGGTCAATATATATTTGATGATGAGGATACCATACCAGGGACGAATACTCAAACTTAGATCTTACATAAGCATAGTACAGTATTTTCAGTGTAAAGGAGTTGTGGAAATCACCGGTATTTCTTACAATAATGATGCAGCCACAACAGCATTTTCAATGTGATAGGAGAAGGAAAGTTTTCTGTCAAATGTGACTCCCAAGTCATTAATTGTACTAGGTCTGTCAAGTTTCCTGTCACCAATACTATATTCATACATCATTACCCCTGTTTTTAAAGTAAACGACAAAACGTGACACTTAGCAGCATTCAAAACAAGTCTGTTTTCACGACACCAGTCGTCAACCCGTACAGTGTTGCATTGCAAGCGATGACAACCGTCAATGTTAGAGACTCTACAGAAAAGTTTCATATCGTCAGCATATATAAGAAAATCGACATCGATAGCTTTTTTTTTTCCTCCCAGTTCTGTTTTGAGGTTTTTTGCAGCGTTTTAGCTTTCTCTGCATACATCCACAACATGCATTTGTTTATATTTTCATGTTTATCCATCCTGTAATTGGCTATGGCTGTTGGATGTTGCTAAATAAATAAATTAATAAAGTATAAAGAGTCCTCGTTGCTTGAATTTTGTCGAAGTACCCAGCAAAAGGCGGAATATATATATATATATATATATATATATATATATATATATATACAGGGTGGCGCATCTAAAACGAAACAGACGCATTTACTGGCAGCTCATTTTGTTTTTGGAAAAACACTCAGACCCTGGGCGGGGGTGACACCAACCCTGAAATCTTAAATGGAAAGGGGGGTCGAGTGATTCCTTATTTTAAAGGTATTTCAATTCCCTTTATAAGGATGTACAATACATGAGCCTCAGTTCAGTAGTTTTGAAGATTTATTGATTTAAAGCTTAAAGTAGACTTTAATAGATACATCAGATTAGTTTGTAGTACTTTCAGAAGAAATTTGACTAAAAGAATTACTTACTTAATAAGTAAATACTTTTCTTCATTACGCCCATGGTTTGTCTATCATTTTGTTGTTGAAAATAACTACTGGACCTTTTTTTTTTGTCAAAAAAGTTATACTAAGTGACATATAAATCCGAACACCCAGTTTAAATGGTTTTATTTTAATAAAAGTTGGTGAATGTATTTATCTTACTGTAAATAACAAGTGAAAAAATTTTCAGCCTTATCAGTTGGACATTCCGGTTTTTATACTGCTTTTTTTTAATTCACTAACGCTCTAAAAATGAATATTTCAGCCGCAGTAAAGAATCAACGTTTGCGGATTTTGGTTCTTGACATCCTTTACGATCGGTTACTATGCCTAGAGTACGGAGACCTGTACGATTTCGTCAACTTAGTGAGTTTGATAGGGGCCGTATAGTGGGACTTCGGGAAGCTAGACTTTCTTTTCGGGCAATTGCAGTTAGAGTGCAAAGAAGTGTAGACACTGTGGTTAGGTGTTGTCAGGCATGGCTTCGAGAAGGCCGTACGCAAAGAGCAAGGGGCACTGGACGTCGCCGTAGAACAACAGACCGTGAAGATCGCCGCCTAAGATAATTGGCCTTAAGGGACCGTTTCTCCACTACCAGGTCCATTGCAAATGAATGGTTTGCAGAACACGGTAGACCTATTGGCATGCGAAGTGTTTAACGACGAATGAGAAGTTTTGGTTTGTTTTCATACCGGCCACACTGGGTCCTCCCTTTAACTCGAGAACACCGACGTAATCGCCTTGAGTGGTGCAGACAACGGTCACTCTGGGATCAGGAATGGAACAGTATTGTCTTTAGTGACGAGTCTCGATTTTGTTTAGGCATGCACGATGGTCGTGCCAGGGTTAGAAGGCGACGTGGTGAAAGGAGGAATCCACAGTTTTTTGTTGAAAGACATGTTCATCACACTGTTGGTGTTATGGTTTGGGGTGCTATAGCTTATGGTTCCAGGTCACATTTAATCTTCATCAGAGGTAACATGAACGCGTAGCGTTATATCCACGAAGTTCTAGAACCCCATCTTTTACCCTATCTTGACACCCTGGCAGATCCAACTTTCCAACAAGATAATGCCCGACCACATGTTGCAAGAGTTACAATAGACTTCTTTCAACATAATGATGTCACATTGTTACCATGGCCACCAAGATCTCCCGACTTATCCCCAATTGAGCACGTATGGGATATGATGGGTAGGAGATTGCTCAATTTGCAACGTCCTCCTCAGACTCTAGAAGCACTTCGAGAGGAGTTGGTGGTTGCCTGGAATGAGATACCACAGGAGGACATTGACCACCTGATCAGAAGCATGCCTAGGCGCGTTGGAGAATGCGTAGCACATCAGGGTGCATCCACACATTATTAAAGGTCAAAGGGCTTTAAAGCAGTCCAATCATTTTGAAATTTTTATCATTTACTTATTATCGTTTTTTGCCACGTACTTATTCTGTTCTCATATAATAAAATATTGCGTATCTGAGGATTTCTGAGTAATTTCCATGTTTTTTTTCAAGTTGGCATTGACCAGATAGAAGTTCCACTGAGGTTGAAAAATTGGCAGCCCCAAATATCGTGTGCGCCCCGCCCCTCCTAGCAGAAATCCTAAATCCGCCATTGGATTCTGAACATATTTTATTAGATTTAACATCCTCTAACCGTTTTTGCTATATATCTAATTTTGGGTAACAAATCACAAATGTAAGTCCATAAACGCCTATTAATTTTCCGTGTATTTTTGTCTTTATCGAACGATTTGTAACTGCTTTCTTATACGAGGTCTACCTCACTAGACGTCATCAGCTATTTTGATAACAATACAGGATTGTCAAAAATAAGCGATCAAAATTAAATTGTGAAAAATCATAAAAGTCATTTTTTTTCAAATGCAAACCACCTGTTTTTAAAATCTCATCATATTAAAATACAAATGAGGATGGTTTTGTATATAAGGTTATCTACTTGTTTTCTATCAATCCGTACCGCTTTTCCTATGGTCAGTTCAACATGGTTGGCCATGGCGCTGTCAATTATTAATAACGTGGAGAGTCACTAGTAGTGTTGTATAATTACTTTGCTCATCTGAGTTATAAAATTTTATCAGGCTTTAAACAATATTAATCCAGTTACCACGGTATCAAATTATACTAAGTGACATATAAATCCGAACACCCAGTTTAAATGGTTTTATTTTAATAAAATTTTGTATAAGTACTTAATGAAGCATAATAAGTAAATCATAAAAAATTCAAAATGATTGCACTGCTTTAAAGCCCTTTGACCTTTAATAATGTGTGGATGCACCCTGATGTGCTACGCATTCTCCAACGCGCCTAGGCATGCTTCTGATCAGGTGGTCAATGTCCTCCTGTAGTATCTCATTCCAGGCAACCACCAACTCCTCTCGAAGTGCTTCTAGAGTCTGAGGAGGACGTTGCAAATTGAGCAATCTCCTACCCATCATATCCCACACGTGCTCAATTGGGGATAAGTCGGGAGATCTTGGTGGCCATGGTAACAATGTGACATCATTATGTTGAAAGAAGTCTATTGTGACTCTTGCAATATGTGGTCGGGCATTATCTTGTTGGAAAGTTGGATCTGCCAGGGTGTCAAGATAGGGTAAAAGATGGGGTTCTAGAACTTCGTGGATATAACGCTGCGCGTTCATGTTACCTCTGATGAAGGTTAAGGGTGACCTGGAACCATAAGCTATAGCACCCCAAACCATAACTCCAACAGTGTGATGAACATGTCTTTCAACAAAAAACTGTGGATTCCTCCTTTCACCACGTCGCCTTCTAACCCTGGCACGACCATCGTGCATGCCTAAACAAAATCGAGACTCGTCACTAAAGACAATACTGTTCCATTCCTGATCCCAGAGTGACCGTTGTCTGTACCACTCAAGGCGATTACGTCGGTGTTCTCTCAGTGTGGCCGGTATGAAAACAAGGCAAAACTTCTCATTCGTCGGTAAACACTTCGCATGCCAATAGGTCTTCCGTATTCTGCAAACCATTCATTTGCAATGGACCTGGTAGTGGAGAAACGGTCCCTTAAGGCCAATAATCTTAGGCGGCGATCTTCACGGTCTGTTGTTCTACGGCGGCGTCCAGTGCCCCTTGCTCTTTGCGTACGGCCTTCTCGAAGCCATGCCTGACAACACCTAACCACAGTGCCTACACTTCTTTGCACTCTAACTGCCATTGCCCGAAAAGAAAGTCCAGCTTCCCGAAGTCCCACTATACAGCCCCTATCAAACTCACTAAGTTGACGAAATCGTACAGGTCTCCGTACTCTAGGCATCGTAACCGATCGTAAAGGATGTCAAGAACCAAAATCCGCCAACGTTGATTCTTTACTGCGACTGAAATATTCATTTTTAGAGCGTTAGTGAATTAAAAAAAAAGCAGTATAAAAACCGGAATGTCCAACTGATGAGGCTGAAAATTTTTTCACTTGTTATTTACAGTAAGATAAATACATTCATCAACTTTTATTAAAATAAAACCATTTAAACTGGGTGTTCGGATTTATATGTCACTTAGTATATATGGAAAATTCAAAAGTAAAAAAGTGTATATGAATTAAAGGTGGTTTGTGTGTAAAACATTATTGCAATCACTCGACATCTAGGCAATTATTTAATAGTCGACCTTGCAAAGCGTGCAGCTAGCTATAAAAATAAAAATCAATCTTACTGAGTTACCAGTGCGCGAAGATGACCGATCAAATAAGTGGCTGGCTCTCAAACACTCTACAAGCAGAGGGTTTCGCAGAATACGAAATAAGAAGAACGGGAAACACAGGAAAATCTGATGGATACCTGGGCCTTATATTCTTCGTGACAGTGAATGGAGTAACAAAAGATAAACAACCAAAACGTCTTGACTTGGTGCTGAAGGTGTCCAAGGATAATGCTTACCTCAAAGAAAACACTACAGTCGTCAGTGCTTTCCTACAAGAAATGCTCATCTACGAGAAAGTGCTGCCCACTTTTGATGCATTCCAAAAAGAAAAAGGCGTTGTGGACATCTTCAAATCCTATCCAAAATGCTATAAGTGCTTGCACCTACATCGAAAAGAAGTAATCGTGTTACAGAACTTAAAAAGTTTAGGATTCGAGTTACACGATCGTAAGAAAACTATGAACTTCAGACATGCCAGGGCAGTACTAAGAGAATACGGTAAGCTCCATGCCATATCGTTCGCTCTAAAAGATCAACGAGAGGAAATATTCAATGCGTTAGCTGGAGGATGTAAAGACCTCTTCATGCAGTTCTTGAGTGAAGAAAAGTCTAGAGATGCCTTCAACGGGGAATTCAAAAAGGTGCTGGACCTTTTGAAGGAGTTTGGTGAACATGAGTTGTACGATAAGTTCAAACGCTATGAAACCTGTGCAGTAAAGACGTTCATGGATGTTTGTGAAGCTAACGAGCCACAATCTAGTTTTGCGCACGGTGACTGTTGGAATAATAATTTTATGTTCAAATATAAGGTGAGTGATATTATTATTATACATTACCAGTTGAAGGAAAATATAATTAGACATTTCTGTATCAGTCAGTCTATATGTTCGTATATTTTTTTATCACAGTAGATATTGTTGGAATCAGTTATTAGAAAAATTATACCAAAACATTTCCAAACTTTCAGCTTGCAAGGTTTCCTTGTTATAGTGTTAATTTTTTTTGTTTGAAGTAGAAACATTTATTTAATATTTACTCAATTTTCAATCTTCTAAGTAAACAATTTTGAGATTCCTATTATTTTTGTCTTCTTTATTTCTGTTAGATTGAAGTCTGTAATTTTTATTGACTACAGAACGTTCCACTGGATTTCGTGTGAAATAATAGTCAATAGACAAATAGTCTATTATAGGCGGATTACCATCTTAAAAGAAACACTTTTTATTAATGAAAAAAGCATAAAAAATAACATATTAAAAGCTTAAAATGTGTTTGTTTAACATATATTACATAAATAAAGATACATACAAAAAAGTTATACGTAATGTTGAAATTTGCATTTTTTCAGAATCTGATACACATATTGCAGGCATACGTACTGTGTAGGTATGTGTAAAAACCGTGAATTATTTGGTAAAAAAGCTAGTAATTTTCTTTTAAACAGATTGTTTTTTTGTATAATTATTTAGAACAGCAAGTTGAATTTTATTTAATTTGGTAAGTGTGGCTGTACTGTCTTCTTCTTGCTGAAAATAACGTTGCAACTTTTTCAAGCAGTCTAATGCATCCTTAGTTGTCACTTTAAGTTCTTCATCATCGTTGTTTTCTAGTTCATCTTTCTGTTCGTTATCAACGGATCCTTCATTAACCAAATTGGAGTCTGACAATTCCTGTGTTGCTATTAAATTATTGTCAACATTTACATACTCATTAAATTTGTCTATATTCAGTAAACTACTAATTTTCAGTAAATCACTTAATGGAATTTCATCTTCTGGATTAAAATCGTTGACTATTTCAGGTCATAAATTCTTTGCAGCACTGCCATTGGATATCAAAAAAATTAGAACATGAATTTCTGTTCATTCACTTACCTATTATCAATAGTTTTCCGTGTTTCAGTACCAGAAGCATTAGCACAAATCATAACAGATTTATTAATTTTACAGGCAATTATTTATAGTACCTTAAATTGTGTTCATTATATACGGGTTTCCACTATAAGCAAGTTCATCATAAGTGGATTCCACTGTATGTAATTATTTACAATATGTCAATTAGAGTTTTCATGACAAACATTGGAGAACAATCATACAAATACTTGTTCTTGATTCATAACAAATTAAGCTTACGAGGGGACCACACAGAATTTTAAGAAACTTTATTTTCAAATGTATTTTAAGCTTCAGTAATTTATCCGACCACTTTTTATTTATAAAAAAACTGATTTTATACTGAACTACCTCAGCAATTGCCAAAGCCAATTCATCAAAGGATATTTATGAGAAACTCGTTTTGGTAACGTCTGACCGCCCGTAATTTACCGAACTGGCAATCAACTCGAATTAGTAAGCTCACGTAATATGTTAAGTATATTATACATTTTTTCTCAATGGCTGCGAAAATTTCGGAGTAAACGTTCGAGGCGATAGAGCTTATGACAAGTAGTCTAATCATATTAGACGAAATAGTTGTAAAGTCTGGTTTTATTGCTGCAAGTTATTCAAGGGGGTATTCAAAACATGGACGCATAAAATGGGTACACCAATGTTTGTAGGAAAACTTTTGTTACGTTGACGTGTGGTCTCATTTTGTAGGTCTCATAAATACCTAAACATCTTATATGAAAAGTTTTTTCGTTCCTGTCAACTTTTTCGATTGAATCCCAAAAAACACGTTTTCTCATTCTTTGTTGTCGAATAAAAAGTTTTCCCACAAAAATTGGTGTACCCATTTTATGCGTTTATGAGGCCGTTCAAGTATTACGTAAGCAGATTTATTACACTTATTTAACCCCCCCCCACCCCCTTGTCAACAAAAGTAAGCATAGCTCTTACCCCCTTCCCCCATGCTCACGTAAACATTTTTCAATTAATGTATTGGTTTTTTTTAATATTATAATTATAACGTTATAATTATAATTTGAAAAATAAGAAAATAGATTTAGGATAGAAATTATATTTTACTGATACAGGATGCAGGAAATCTTTGAGTGAAGCACTTAAGCGTAGACCTAAATTGACTGGAAGATTAAGAAATTGCCCTCCTTCATCCAAAACCAAGTCATCAATTGTTTGTTTTACTTTTACAGGTGGTGGAAGAAACCTATTGTTTAGTAATCTAAATAGGCCACTTCTTGGACGACAGCATTCTGTATTTCTACATTTTACAATTTGAAGCAAGTATTGGCTCTCACGCACATGTTCTGAATACCATTTAATGTCTGGAAAATCAGGAAGATCTTATTCACCTGCCCCAACATATTTTGCATTAACATTATAGCCATCAATTTCCATTGAACTCCATACTTCAGCTAATACATTTCCTGCAAATTCGAAATTAGATCTTTCTAAATGTTCATCAATTGTAACGCCACGTTCATCCAAATGCGATCCAAAATGGTCATGAGGCAATATTAAACCAGCCAGTTCCCGACTAAAAGGAGCCATTCTGCGCTCTACTCTGTTATACGCACTTCTTCCAGGAGCATTGGTAGCTAAAAACAATGCATCGAGATCATGTCACTTAAAGTGTTGTATAGCAAACCGTATGACTTTTTGATAACCTGGATTTTCATCTGGCCCTCCATCAAGCGTCATGATTACCACTGGTTTTACTAGTCCATGGTCAGTTTTAGCTAATGGTCGAAACTCTTCAAGTTCTAGAAGCGTCTCGGAATGCTGAGCGTGAGTATTAGCAGTAGATGAACTATGCTTTCCACTTCGAATAGCGATGTATGTTGGTCCAGGATATCCAACGGGTTGCGGTTGTCCTATTATGTTGGAAGTGGTTTTGATACCAGTATAAACAGATGGTATTAATTTATGACGCTCAGCGATTACCCAATCGTGATCAGGCAATTTGATTCTATATTCCATGTGCATTAGAAGAGGCGCTTGCTTATTTGCCGCAGTTACACCAATAGGGACTCGAGCTTTATCATCTTGAGATATGAAAAATACTTGATCTGGTCCAAGTATGGATGCTATGTTCTCTAGATAATGGATTGATGTTTCAGCGAACTTGCTATCTAAGTGGCTCTTGTGGTGATCAGTTTGAGCCCGAATGAGCTTAACAGGGAATGTCGATACATGTCTTCGTCCCTCTGCAGAATTAAATTTTCTGGGAATCAAACGAAGATATGTCCCACTGCGACTAATGTCAAATCCTATTTTACGTAATTCTTGTGTGAGTTCATTAAGAGTTTTTACGCTGCGAATTGATTCCGTTCGTCTTCTATCATCTGCTGCACTCCCAAATAAAGCTATATCCGCGATTGTTTTCAATAAGGAATGTTGATTGCTTTCAATATTAGGACGTCCCACTGAATCCCTCAGAGATAGTCTTTTTTTATTTCTGGATTTTCATGACAAATATCTTCTAACTTTCTTTTCATACTATCCCTGTGTTTCTTCTGGGCAACTGCGTTTTGAACCTTCCTGTTTAAAGACTGTTTTGTTGTTTTTATTTAATCGCGCAACTTAATGATCTGTTTATCAACTTCAGCACGGCTTGGCATAGTATCTCTGGCAGAATACAAAGTATTCAGATTTTTTCGAGTAGAGCAATCTTATTTTTTATAGCTTCCTGAGAAGGTTTTGCTCTCTGTTTATCTGTATTTTCATTAATTTCGCATTGGTTTGTGATTCAGTACCGGGTTTCATTTTATCTTCTTCCTCTTTTTTAAGATTTGAAGCTGACTGTATAATTTGTGTCTTTGCAGGTTTACAGGTTGCCTAAAAATAAAAACTTTCTATGGCTTCTGCTAAAGATTCTCTTATTAAGCTACATAAATACAAAGTATAGCAATATATATATGGTAAATACAAAACCCTATGGCTTTAAATCTAATATGTTTAAACGAGCAATTCGTTCCGGTCACAAAATACAGGGTGTTCGTTTTCTGTATATATGTATAAAACTAACATCCTGTACTTTGTGACCAATTGACGGAATCAATCATAAGAAATAAATCTATAATATACTGAATATTATCTCTATACTTTGAGATAGGCCATAATATTTTCTAATCAGTAAAGAGAAACTTTTTGGCGATTTCTAATATTTCTAGTACTCATAGGTACCCAAAATGATTTCGTCACTCACCTTTATTTAGTAGATTGGATTTATTCTTAGTCGCCGCTTGCAATTCTTCTTCGATTCTCTTAGATACAATAATATCTAGTTCCTTGTCGGATTTTGCTTGTAAGTTGTAATTTCGCCACACATCGTTAACTAACTTTTGTACATTTTGTACTTTCCTACTTGTATGAGACTTTTTAAAACTTTCAAACAATTTTTGGTATAACTTGGATTTGTCTCTGTGAAACGACACCTTATTTATCATTAAACTTTGGCTAATGGAATCAATGGTAACACAAATGTCAACTTGCTTTACTATGCTTACAATAAGTCTACTCAATATAGTATCCAAACGACACAATACACTGATAGAGGAAATTTAGACAAGTGAACACCGCGCGGTAATTCCCCTACTCGGTTCTAAAGCGAGAAGGGGAATTACCGCGCGCTGTTCACTAAACGTATGCATTATTTGCGGGAATCCCCGAAAATGCGTTTCGTTTTCAATGTGAGGGTTGCCATTCGTGTAAAAAAGTAAATAACTACCGATGGCGTAATCATGATCTAGACTCCCCTACCCCCCATGTCATCCAAAATAAGCAAAGCAAAGACCCTCCCCCCCCCCCCCCCCATAGTGCTCACGTAATACTTGAACGGCCCCCATGATTTAAATACTCCCTTGAACAACTTGCACCAATAAAACCAGACTTTACAATCATTTCGGAGAAATTTGCTAATATGATTAGACTAAAGGCTGCACAACTTTTTTTAAACAATCGGGCCAAATGGAGGAATCAGATGGCTATTGCCGATTTCTATTTTAGTTACTCTTAGTGCTTTTACGATAAAAAATCAAATTATTCAATTATTATGTGAAATAATAGAACAATGATCATATTATGCTAAACAAAGAGACAGAATTGAACCAAATCCAAATCTAAGGTAGGCGCGGTGATACAATAAATGTGACTTCTGACATTGTTTCTGTTCTCTAATATAAGTTACAAATATGTTGATCAGTTAATGATGTGTGGTATTTATTTTTTACATAATAAAGATTTGAAAAGCGTTTTCACAAACATGTGCATGTTGGCCCGACACTACTTAAGAAACTGGAACGCTAAGTCAGTTATTACCAGGAAGTTTTCCCTTGGTAGCAATTTCCACAAATCTTCTAAAGAATTTTGTGGTTTAGGAGACACTTTTTCGACAAAAAATTTTATAGCACATAATAATTTTGCAGTTTCAACTGATTATTGGCAGGATAGCTAATTTTATTTGAGTCGAACTGCTTATGAAATTTGTATCTTGTTTTTTTAGTGTCAAGTTCCTGGAATCATACGTCTACAATGAGCATTTAATTTTAGGTTCCTGTCTAGAATAACTGACAATAGCTATACTAAGTGACATATAAATCCGATCACCCAGTTTAAATGGTTTTATTTTAATACTCGTAAAAGTTGGTGAATGCATTTATCTTACTGTAAATAACAAGTGGAAAAATGTTCAGCCTTATCAGTTGGACATTCCGGTTTTTATACTGCTTTTTTTTAATTCACTAACGCTCTAAAAATGAATATTTCAGCCGCAGTAAAGAATCAACGTTGGTGGATTTTGGTTCTTGACATCCTTTACGATCGGTTACGATGCCTAGAGTACGGAGACCTGTACGATTTCGTCAACTTAGTGAGTTTGATAGGGGCCGTATAGTGGGACTTCGGGAAGCTGGACTTTCTTTTCGGGCAATTGCAGTTAGAGTGCAAAGAAGTGTAGACACTGTGGTTAGGTGTTGTCAGGCATGGCTTCGAGAAGGCCGTACGCAAAGAGCAAGGGGCACTGGACGCCGCCGTAGAACAACAGACCGTGAAGATCGCCGCCTAAGATTATTGGCCTTAAGAAACCGTTTCTCCACTACCAGGTCCATTGCAAATGAATGGTTTGCAGAATACGGAAGACCTATTGGCATGCGAAGTGTTTACCGATGAATGAGAAGTTTTGGCTTGTTTTCATACCGGCCACACTGGGTCCTCCCTTTAACTCGAGAACACCGACGTAATCGCCTTGAGTGGTGCAGACAACGGTCACTCTGGGATCAGGAATGGAACAGTATTGTCTTTAGTGACGAGAATCGATTTTGTTTAGGCATGCACGATGGTCGTGCCAGGGTTAGAAGGCGACGTGGTGAAAGGAGGAATCCACAGTTTTTTGTTGAAAGACATGTTCATCACACTGTTGGAGTTATGGTTTGGGGTGCTATAGCTTATGGTTCCAGGTCACCTTTAATCTTCATTAGAGGTAACATGAACGCGCAACGTTATATCCACGAAGTTCTAGAACCCCATCTTTTACCCTATCTTGACACCCTGGCAGATCCAACTTTCCAACAAGATAATGCCCGACCACATGTTGCAAGAGTCACGATAGACTTCTTTCAACATAATGATGTCACATTGTTACCATGGCCACCAAGATCTCCCGACTTATCCCCAATTGAGCACGTGTGGGATATGATGGGTAGGAGATTACTCAATTTGCAACGTCCTCCTCAGGCTCTAGAAGCACTTCGAGAGGAGTTGGTGGTTGCCTGGAATGAGATATCACAGGAGGACATTGACCACCTGATCAGAAGCATGCCTAGGCGCGTTGGAGAATCCGTAGCACATCAGGGTGCATCCACACATTATTAAAGGTCAAAGGGCTTTAAAGCAGTGCAATCATTTTGAAATTTTTATCATTTACTTATTATGCTTCATTAAGTACTTATACAAAATTTTATTAAAATAAAACCATTTAAACTGGGTGTTCGGATTTATATGTCACTTAGTATATATTGAGCTTCTCTTTCAAATGATTTGGTGTGAAAAAAGGTCAATATTTTCTGTAGCAAGTTGAGTGAAAAAACGGCGTCAAGTAGATTGACTCTATACTTCATACGCCTTCGTTGGAGGTTTCGAAGAAAAGGGATGAGTCATGTAGTTTCAAAAGGCGAAATAGAATCGTAATTACTCGTAGGTATGTTCATTTACGTTCGGTGAATCTTCGACCTCTACACATCAAACTATATGAAGTAAATATATCATATTTCTGTTTTCATGGTAGATGTAGAGAAAATGTGTGCGACTTATTAATCAGCAGCTTCTTAATAGTAGGTCTTTCACTTATACAACCATTTACCGCATACAGCTTCTGAGCTACAATTTTCAACCCCTAAAAACAATGTCTGAAAATAAGCATATCTCTAAAACGTGGTAACACTATGACCCAGCAATTTTTATTTTCTTGTCTGTAGTTCCGCCGCCGCTTAATCAATATTGAAAACGCACGAGTACCTAAACGATGGAAGTATTTATGTCGGTTTATCAGTCCGTGCCTGTTATAAGTATTGAGTCTATCTACTTGATGAAATTTTCAGAGAACCATCATAGACTGTGTAACACAAATTAAAGGTTAGGCGAAATGAGTGGTACAGTTAAAGATCATAATATTCAAAAAAATATATGTGTAGATATAAAACCAGTTAAGCCATCATTTTAAAAGCATCGCAGAACGCTATATAAATATTCTCCTGTAGCGGTGTGTCAGAGACGACACCGTAGTCGGCAGTGGTCATTAATTTTCCCTTTTAATTATGTGATGTATTGATCTTTTTCTGAGGAATAATAATAAATTCAGAGTTTATCTTACAGGTCATTACATTTAATAAAATACAAGGAAATAAGAAAAATGGAATCCGGTCCTTGAATTTTGAGTTCTCAAAACATCTTCAGTTCAGTTCTAAGCATTGTTTTGTGAAATATTGATGATACCAAGTTGATAACCGTTGGAATTTTTAGTTTTGTGACACACAAAATGATCAAAAATAAGATATTTGAAAAATAGCAAATTTTAACTCAAAAACCAAAGGAGGCGTAAACAATCTATTCTGCTGATCAACTATCATCATTCATTGGCTTTTCTTGTAAATAGTAAAAAATTTCAATGTTCAGATTAAAATGATTTTTATACAAAACAAAAAAATGAATATAATCGAGTTCGGCTCTGAATTTTTTAACCGTTCGTCTAGTTTTATGTCACTTTTAGGTGAATATGTTATTGGGCAAAATTTGAATAAACAGAAAATTTTTACTCGAAAACCAAAAAAGGCGTAAACAATCTATTCTGCTTATCGACTACCACCATTCATTGCCTTTTTTTGTACATAGTCAAAAATTTCAATCTTCAGCTTGAAATGTGCTGATTTTGATACAAAACAAAAAAGTGAATATAATCGAGTCCGGCTCTGAATTTTTCAACCATTTCTCTAGTTTTATGTCTTTTTTAGGTGAATATGCAATCGTGCAAAATTTGAATAAATAGAAAATTTTAACTCAAAAACCAAAAGAGGCGTAAACGATATATTTTGCTAACCTACTAGCGCCATTCATTGGCTTTTCTTATAAATAGTAAAAAATTTCAATCTTTAGATTTAAATGATTTTGATAAAAAACAAAAAAAATGAATATAATCGAGTTCGGCTCTGAATTTTTTAACCGTTCGTCTAGTTTTATGTCACTTTTAGGTGAATATGTTATTGGGCAAAATTTGAATAAACAGAAAATTTTGACTCGAAAACCAAAAAAGGCGTAAACAATCTATTCTGCTTATCGACCACCACCATTCATTGTCTTTTTTTGTACATAGTCAAAAATTTCAATCTTCAGCTTTAAATGTGCTGATTTTGATACAAAACAAAAAAGTGGATATAATCGAGTCCGGCCATGCATTTTTCAACCGTTCGTCTAGTTTTATGTCACTTTTAGGTGAATATGTTATTGTGCAAAATTTGAATAAATAGAAAATTTTGACTCAAAAACCAAAAGAGACGCAACCAATCTATTTTGCTGATCAACTAGCACTTGGCATAGTCAAAAATTTCAATATTCAGCTTAAAAGGTGTTGATTTTGGCACCAAATGTAAAAGTGAATACAATCGAGTCCGGTTCTGGACTTTTCAACCGTTCGTTTAGTTTTATGCCACTCCTAGGTGAATATATTATCTTTCAAAATTTCAACAAAAACTGTTCAAGGGTTATTATACTAAAGATCTGGCGTGTTTAGACAAATCACTCTGTATATCCGTAAGAACTTATAACATTTTTATCTTCAGATATTAAAAAGGCCTCGGTCCATACTACCTACCATTTCACTATGTCCATTTAAGTACGGATCACCCTGTATATATTTTATGTTTTTGAAAATCCAGTTTTTTAAACAAACCCTCAACGGACGATATTACAATCTTTTATACGAACATTTAATTGCTCCAATTTTCAGGATTTTTATGTTTAATAATATGAATAGGCTAAGAAGCCTTGTATAGTCGAAATCACGAAAGATGACGATTACGTCATCATTTTAGTCTGTAGTAAAGACAAACCTCAGGGATTTGTGAATATTTTTAAAGAAGTTTCAAATATACTAAGTGATATATAAATCCGAACACCCAGTTTAAATGGTTTTATTTTAATAAAATTTTGTATAAGTACTTAATGAAGCATAATAAGTAAATGATAAAAATTTCAAAATGATTGCACTGCTTTAAAGCCCTTTGACCTTTAATAATGTGTTGTTGCACCCTGATGTGCTACGCATTCTCCAACGCGCCTAGGCATGCTTCTGATCAGGTGGTCAATGTCCTCCTGTGGTATCTCATTCCAGGCAACCACCAACTCCTCTCGAAGTGCTTCTAGAGTCTGAGGAGGACGTTGCAAATTGAGCAATCTCCTACCCATCATATCCCACACGTGCTCAATTGGGGATAAGTCGGGAGATCTTGGTGGCCATGGTAACAATGTGACATCATTATGTTGAAAGAAGTCTATTGTGACTCTTGCAACATGTGGTCGGGCATTATCTTGTTGGAAAGTTGGAGGGGTGTCAAGATAGGGTAAAAGATGGGGTTCTAGAACTTCGTGGATATAACGCTGCGCGTTCATGTTACCTCTGATGAAGATTAAAGGTGACCTGGAACCATAAGCTATAGCACCCCAAACCATAACTCCAACAGTGTGATGAACATGTCTTTGAACAAAAAACTGTGGATTCCTCCTTTCACCACGTCGCCTTCTAACCCTGGCACGACCATCGTGCATGCCTAAACAAAATCGAGACTCGTCACTAAAGACAATACTGTTCCATTCCTGATCCCAGAGTGACCGTTGTCTGCACCACTCAAGGCGATTACGTCGGTGTTCTCGAGTTAAATGGAGGACCCAGTGTGGCCGGTATGAAAACAAGCTAAAACTTCTCATTCGTCGGTAAACACTTCGCATGCCAATAGGTCTTCCGTGTTCTGCAAACCATTCATTTGCAATGGACCTGGTAGTGGAGAAACGGTCCCTTAAGGCCAATAATCTTAGGCGGCGATCTTCACGGTCTGTTGTTCTACGGCGGCGTCCAGTGCCTCTTGCTCTTTGCGTACGGCCTTCTCGAAGCCATGCCTGACAACACCTAACCCCGGTGTCTACACTTCTTTGCACTCTAAATGCAATTGCCCGAAAAGAAAGTCCAGCTTCCCGAAGTCCCACTATACGGCCCCTATCAAACTCACTAAGTTGACGAAATCGTACAGGTCTCCGTACTCTAGGCATCGTAACCGATCGTAAAGGATGTCAAGAACCAAAATCCGCCAACGTTGATTCTTTACTGCGGTTGAAATATTCATTTTTACAGCGTTAGTGAATTAAAAAAAAAAAAGCAGTATAAAAACCGGAATGTCCAACTGATAAGGCTGAAAATTTGTTCACTTGTTATTTACAGTAATTTTATTGTCTAAACAAACTGTATTGCTCATTTGCATCTATCCGACAAAGATAGACGATGTTTTCATGTTGCATGATCGATCATATTTGAAAAATGAATAGTTAGGTTATGTTAAACCAGGTTAGGTTGTTTTAGAATAATAATTTGGTCTTTGGTGTTAACGTCTTAAGGTGTATTCACTCTTAACAAAACAAAAACTCCCCACTGAACTTATTATTAAGGCATCACTTAAAACCATGGAATAAAATGCAAATAAAAATAATCAATGAAATAACCTAACTTCGCAAAATCATAATATAAATTCATGAGATTGTGATTTTATCATCGACGTACGTCCATTGATTACTTCAGTACAATTTATGGTATGACGTAATAGTCATCTTTCGTGATTTTGACTGTAATACAGTATTTTCTTGAATATGCTATGTAGAAACACGACATTAACCCTATTATTTTTTATATCAGGATGGCGACAAAACCGAGCCCTCCGCCATGTGCATCCTAGACTGGCAAGCCTCAGTAGTACGCTCCCCAGTGTACGACCTAGCCTACTTCCTGTACTCTACTTGCTCCACAATCTTAGACAGAGTCGACGAGCTCTTGCGCGAGTACCACGACAGCTTCTCGGACTTCATCCGACAGCTCGGAAGCAGTCCCGAGCTGTTCACGTTCGAAGATCTTCAAAGACATTGGAAGAAGTACTCTGTCGTTGGAGTTACGTTCTTGCCGTTTCTGCTTAAGCTAATTTTGATCGATGAAAACGACGCTCCTGATTTTGGCAATTTGAAGGAAGGGGAAGATGTGGGCGAATTGATGAATGTCGTACCTATGAGTGATAAGAAGCAGTATTTTGAAAGAGCTAAAGCCGCATTTGCTCATCATGCCGAAACATGTATGGACTGACCTTTATTTATAAAAATGGAGCAAAATTGGTCTATTTTGAATTCAAGTACTTATGTTATGTGAGAAGTAAGGTATATATATTTGAGTGCAGTGAAAAATTGTTTATGCATATTTTGTTATACAATGTGTATTTAACAGCAATAGCAGAATCCTAAATGTTAATTTGTTTTAAAAGACAATGTCAGAAGCTTAAATGTTAATTTGTTTTAAAAGAATGTATGTGTGTACGAACATTTTCAAGCACTTAAGGCTGTTTTTGGCATCCACATTTCTAGGGTATATGCAACCATGTATGTACAAAGTTCTTAAGGTAGAACCTGCGTTTGGTCATTATTTATGATAATACTAGAAATTGTTACATGTTAAACATTTAAAATTCTGATTATACAGCCGACAAATTCAAAGTATATATATATATAATATAGTACGAGCCCCTTCCCACTTCAGTTGGCTCAACTATTGAAATCTTAGTTTTTTTCTTATCAAACACAAATAATAAAAATGTAGCATGGTGTTAAAGGTTTAAAATATTAACAATGAATATTTTGATAATATACAGTAGAAAACACCAACTTTGTCACTCCTTAATCAAATTTGCACCATAAAAATAACACATGTTGCATGTTGCAATTACAGCACATCAACCTATTTTCATTTCAATGCAAAATAAGTCTATAACGCATAGGTGGCTGTGAAAAATAAAAGCCATGACAATTGTTTTTATTAATCACAGCTGTCAGAATATGTTTAAAATAGTTTTGGGTAGTTAAGGTTTTCAAAATGGGTAGAGGTTATTAGTGAGAAAATTCGGTTACTGATGATTAAATTTTTTAATTATGTGAAATCAAACTCAGAAATTGCAACTTTGTTAGACTTATCGCGGTACAGTGTGAGAAATATTGTTAGAAGATATAAACGTAACTGGTTCAGTTAATATTATGCCACGATTTGTGAAAAAAGTAATATCACAAATGCCGATCGAAGAGCATTAAGAAGAATAATCGTGAAAAACAGACATGCTAATTATTTACAATTAAGTACTCTGTGGAGTGACGCTGTTGGAAGGAGAATTTCGAGGTCCATAACTCATAGAGACTCCCACAAACTGGGATTTAGCACTTGCAAGGTAAGTTTTCTTCTAAAAAAAGTGAAGTAAAAACCCCAAAGTTGCACAACTTGTTTATAGGCCAAAGAAACGCCACTATTAACTCCACTGCAAAAGAAAAATCGGCTTAGATGGGCTAAAGAACATAGACAATGGACACCTCAACAATGGTGTGCAATACAATGGTCTGAAGAAAAAAATGAAATTTCCAGCATCCGTTATGGTCTGGGGCAGTACGTCATCAAAAGGAGTAGGAAAACTTCATTTTATTGATGGAAATGTGGATACAAACAAATATTTGGCAATTTTAGAAGAATCGCTTTTACCAATGATGGAAGAATGTTTGACATCCGGCCAAGATTTTGTGTTTCAGCAAGATGGTGCAGCGTGCCATACCTCAAGAAAGGCTATAAAATGGATGGAAGAAAATAATGTACCACTTTTGAGATGGGTTTCTAGCAGTCCAGATCTGTCACCTATTGAAGCTTTGTAGTACGAGATGAAAAAGGTTCTACGACAACATCCTCCTCGTACAATCACCGAATTGAGACAAAAGCTTCAAGAAATATGGGATTGTTTTACACCAAATGTTTGCGAAAACGTGGTTGTTAACACTATGCCCCAAAGAATTTCAGCCGTAATAAAAAATAAAGGTGATGTTACCCAATGGTAATCTTTCAATTGTTGCTTTGTTAACTTCGCGCATTTATTCGCACATTGTTTATTTGTTCAGATGTTCTATTAGTTATAGGTCTAAGTAATTTCAAATATGTATTTTTTGCGACTAGAGTGTATCTAAAATGTTTTTGAGAAAATAAATTGTTTTAGAAGTAATTAGTTTCGTCATGTTTAGTTTATAAAGGCATATTTTGGTACAAATCTTGAAGTGGGCCAACTGAAGTGGGAAGGGGCTCGTACATCACTGTACAGTACGATTTCGTTGCTGCTAAGCATATTGTGTTCCTAACGATTTGCGAAATGATCTACTGTAGCGGTAATCTTACCTTAACATACAAATAATACATTATTTCTAAACACTGTCTTATGAATAGATTGTAACCTTGACGTTTATGCTGGTACCTTACAGATAAAAAACGCTCTGTCGCCCCAAACAACAAAGAAATTATTTTTCACCTTACTGATTCCGACAATAAAAAGCTGCATATCACAAGGAGCTGAGCAACGTTTTTTTTTACTTCCCACGCCTACTAGCGACTGAGTATTGTTTTCACGAAAAATTTCGAAAACGAGATATGTTTTTTGGATATTATACAGGGTGTTCCTTAATGATATACGGATATTTAAGGGTGTGAATCTATATGAAAAGTTAATGTTAGTTTGCTTTGTAAACTATGGTCCAAAAATGTTTCTTTACAAAAACTCGGGATGTTGAAGTTTCAGGAACAAAAATGGAAATTAATTAATATTTTCAGAAACCGTTTCAGATATTTCACTGATAGTACGTAGTGAAAGTTAATAAAGTTGCATATTTTTCAATGCAAAAATAATTTTTAGCTTTAACAGTGGCGTGCGTACGGGTATTGACTTCAATATTTTTTAAGAAAAAAATGGTACGCCAATGATTTTTTGCCAAATGGAAATTATTTTTTAATTCCCCGTTCAATTTAAAACAAATGATCTCTCTTGAGTTGTTTTCCTTCGATGCGGCATTTTTGAGTAAAAAAATAAAAACCGTTCTATTGTCCCAGAAAATTAATGTAATAATTGAAGAATGCAATTTAGCAATAAATATCTAGTTGCTGTGGAATATGTCACTGGCTTTTGACATTTAACAAGTCTCTGTTATTCAAATCTGTCCGCTGTGACATCTTTTTCATTATTTAGTTTTTACAATCTTGTTAATAATGGTGAATTATTCAAATGCAGAAATGGCGGAAATGCATTACGTATATGGCCTTGCCGACAGTAATGGTGAGCAAGCCAGACGGATTTATCACCAGAGGTATCCCGATCGTGCTTTGACAGATAGTCGAACCTTTTCTAATATTCATCGTCGTCTTGTTGAAAATGGTTCTGTCCTAAAAGGAACATCTGAAGGTAGACCTCTAAGTGTGACAATACCTGAAATTGAGGAAGCAGTGCTGCACGAAGTCGAAGAACATCCTGAAACGAGTACGAGGAAGATCGCTAGACACTTAAATATTTGCCATCAAATTGTTTGGAGAGTTTTAGTGGATTTTTTGTTATATCCTTACCATATTTTAAGAGTACAGGCATTACTTCCCATTGATTTTCCAAGGCGTGTGACCTTTTGTCAGTGGTATCTTCGGAAATTACACAAAATCCGCAATTTGGATCAATGATCTGTTCACCGACAAAGCTAATTTTTCTCGAAATGCCATTCAGAATTTCCACAATAATCATTGGTGGGCAGAAGAAAATCCCTATGCCGTAACCGAACTCCATTTCCAACACCAATTTTTTGTTAACGTATGGGCAGGAATTATTATACAGGGTGTCCCAGAAGTCGACGTCAAGCCGAAACCGGGTGATAGGCAAAGTCATAACAGCTATCAGAAAAATATTTAAAAAAATTTTATGTATGTGTTTTGAAAATTATAGGTCTTTGAAAAAGATATAGAAATTTCACACCCTACGGCAGTCTGTCAACTCCTGTTACTACAAATATTAACTTTTTTTGGATTTTATTTTTACAATGTAATGATGAATAATGCATCTTCAAACTGGTCTCTCAACCTTACTGCCAACTTTTCTCGTTCAGGAAAAATTGCCAATTATTTCCCAACCAAGTATTCCAAAGTAAAACTTTGCTCAACTTTAACTGGCTGTACTGGAAAAAAATGTACTACGAGAGTTTGGCAAGTAACCTTAAAAGTTGGCGCATTTAATAAGGATTCCAAAAGGGTATAACACTTAGAAGATTACTCGTTAACTTATGCACAATTTTTATTTGAAAAAAAAACTGATGAAAATTTTTCAAAATTTCCTAATTAAACAGCGATTATGAAAACGCACAAGGACCCTTAAGGACACAAGAGTGGGCGTCAAAATGCTGCTGATGATGATTTACCTTTACAGCAAATGCTCAAACTGTTGTCCTTCAGCCGCAATACACGCTCGACATCTTCTTAAAGAAGATCGGGTTATTAAACGAGCGAATCCACGGTTATTAACAAACTCAGCTGCTTCCAATAGTCTTTGCCGTAGCTCAGCTACATTTTGAATCGGCTTGAAATACACTTTTTCTTTTACAGTTCCCCAGTAAAAAAATCTAAAGGATTCAAATCAGGTGATCGGGCTGGCCACGGTATTGTACCAGACCGCCTTATCCATCTGCCTGGAAAGTTTTGATCGAGATACTCTCTCACTGAGAGTGCATAGTGCGCTGGGCAGCCATCATGCTGAAACCACATGTCCCTGTGGCACGTCCACCAGTAAATTTTGTACATGATTTTTCAAAAAATCAATATCTTCTCTCATCAAATGTGGGTTTGCTACGTGCCACTCGTGTAAGTTATGCAGGTTCATGTACCCATCTTTCTTAAATGTGGTCTCATCCGACCATAAAATTTTTTCAAAGAACTGTGGATCTTTCCTGTGTCTTTCTAACATTGTGCGACAGAAAGCAACTTGGGGCTCATAATCCCGGTGCAGGAGAGGTTGAACAGCTGAGTTTGTTAATAACCCGATCTTTTTTAAGAAGATGTCGAGCGTGTATTGCGGCTGAAGGAAAACAGTTTGAGCATTTGCTGTAAAGGTAAATCATCATCAGCAGCATTTTGACGCCCACTCTTGTGTCCTTAAGGGTCCTTGTGCGTTTTCATAATCGCTGTTTAATTAGGAAATTTTGAAAAATTTTCATCAGTTTTTTTTTCAAATAAAAATTGTGCATAAGTTAACGAGTAATCTTCTA